GAAATTCTAGCTTCTTGGGATATAACAGTGACTCCCTTGTCAGCTTCTACTATAATTTTGATCTTTCCTTTTGTCTCTTCATCAATAACTACCGGAATGACTCTAACTCCCTTAAGTAGAGCGCTAATCCTTCCTAAAATCAATCCAATTGAGCCCGGTGGTAAAGGGCCCTTGACTCCTGTGTGCAAAGCTTGGGGTCCCATCTAAGGAGTCAAAACTGCTCTGGTGGAGGAACAGAGTTCCAGTCCTGTGTTACCTGGGGTACCTCTAACAAGGTCCTGGATAGGGTGGGGAACAGGTGTAGTCAGGGCTCCATACACCTGGGAGTAAGGGGTCCGGAGCGGACCTTGACTCCCGTTTCCTGAAGTTGGCAGAGGGTAGCCCTGTGCAGCAGTCTTAAATCAACAGTTTCTGGCCCAATGATATCCTCTTTTACGGAAGGGGCAAAGACCTGGCTCTGAACGAGGGGGTGCAGCAGAGTCCTTAGCAGGACAATTTTTCTGAAAGTGGCCTATTTTCTTGAATCTGAAGCATGTCCTAGGTCTATGCCCCTCACTGACCTTTCTATTTCTTTGCATAGCACTAGCGATAACTTGTCCCATAATGTGATATTCATCTATATCTCTACAAATGCGAATATAATCATTGAGGCTCCTTGTTTTGTGAGTCCATAAAGCCTCCTTGCAGTATTTATTAGCATTTTCAAAAGCTAATTGTCTTACCAAAGTCATAGCATTGTCAGTATCTCCAAATATACGACCTGCAAGTTGTAGGAGCTGGTCCACAAACTCAGAATAGGGTTCAGATGGTCCCTGTAGGATCTTAGAAAGTTGGTTTCCTGCAGCCTTATTAGGCAAGGCTTTCCATGCATGGCCAGCAGCTGCTGAGATCTTTGCATAAACAGCTGGGTCATAAAGAATTTGCCGGCCTAGAGTTGTATAGGCTCCCATGCAGGTAAGCATTTCTAAATTCCTATTAGGAAAACCAACAGCCGCGTTGCCCTGTGCTGTCTGGTTACACAGTTCTTGGTATTTACCCCTCCAGCTCAAATAATCTCCCCCAGACATCGTAGCACGACATAATTGTTGCTAATCACTGGGGGTACAATTTAAGGCTGTAAAGGATTCAAAGATAGCCAGAGAGAAAGGGGCATGAGGCTCATATTCCATAAGTGCCCCCTTCAAGTGTTTTATATCCTTAAAGTTAAGAGGGAAATATTCTCTCTGACTCTGGCTTTGAGGATTAACTGTCTCTATACATTCTGCATTTCAGGAGGGGCTGAAGGAAGATGGAGAGAACTGGAATGTTCAGGATTACAGGCAGGGGGATGCGGATCAAGGGAAGATTTTTTAAATTTGTAAACATTGGAAGCTTGAATTAATCTAGTAGACTCTAGGTCTTGAGCCTCTGTGAAGGTGTCCCTAGTTTTCCCACCTGTTCCTTCATTACCGTATTATCGCTAATAAGTGCACCCTTAACAAGACGCTACAGAGAAAAGACAACAATTGTTATGGCGTTTGGCCCTTCTTTATGCAAAGTTCTTTGTAGGTCCACTATAACTTGGTTCCAATCAAGGGAATTAAGATCACCAGAGACCAAAAACCAAGGGATGACTTTATGTTTTGTTTTTAAAAAGTCCTTAGCTGTCTTATGTCTGATAATTGTGCCCTGGCATTGTAACAATTGTATCAAATAGTCCTCCAAAACAGGGACCCATACCTAATATACTCACACCTAACCTTAAGAAGAATGCTAGCTGGCTTTCTGTGGGTGTGGACTCTCAGGAATTCCCTGACAATTTTGACACCAATGGGTCAAGTCAGGCCTGGAGTCAACTCTAAACCACCCCTCTACAGGGGCTGACCCACCAACTGGGGCCTAACGTTTTTAATCACCCCTCTACGGGGGCTGACCCACCTTCTAGGGCCTAACTTTTTAAATCAGCCCTCTATGGGGGCTGACCCACCATCTGGGGCCTAACTCAGTACCCTAAACTTGGTACCCCTATCCAAATACACCCTCCTACCTTACTTGCTGGCCAGTATTCAAGTGTAATTCTTTAGCAGTTTTTCTTCTTTTCCGATCTCAGTGGGACCTCCATCTGTAGCTAGCTGCCAGTGTGTTCGCAGCTACAGTGCTAGCATACTTCACAACGATCCTAGGCTAAGTGCTAAGGATGAAAATAAAGACAAAGACAGTGGCTCATTGTTACAAGGGGAATGACATTTATTATTACAAAGGTAGAGCCTTATATACCAAAGCCAGTTATGGCAGAAAAACACCAAGGTCAGAAGCCTATGTTCCTAGGGCCCTCCAGCAAAGGGGTGGGCCAAAAACAGGAATTAGCATTTAGACAATAAACAGGAACTTGAATGCAGGCCTTACTGGGAGGAGGGGACAAGAAATGTTTTGCTAAAAGCTCCTAGTAACAAGCAGTCAACAGACCCCCATGGGGGAAGGGTGCAACATCTTTCAAGCAGAATCTGTCTTTACTGCATATCTATAATCCTTTTCTTTCTCCATGATCAAAATTCCAAACCCACCATGCAGAGTGCTGTCAGAGCTTGTGGTGGTAGCTTAAGCCCACAGACAGAGGCTGAGAAAAGCCTTTCAGTAAGTACTGTGGCCATTTCAAATACTGCAGTAACCTGCCATGCCACTTACCTCATGTTGATTGGCTGCTGGTTCCATATTACATTTCTGCACATTTGCTGGCCATACACTATGAGATTAGGAAGTTGCATTTGTCTTTGTTTCTGTGCGGTTAGAATCATTTTTTAAAAAAATCTCTCTCAGGTTTCATGAAGAATCAGTTGCCTAAACTTTGTAGGTGGAAATTTTCTGTCCCACAGCTGCTCTCAAATAAACACACAGAGGCGTATATTAATTATAAATAGTCGGCTAATAGTTCAGGCATATTAATAACTGGACCTTACATTTTAAGTTAACCTGTATTCCTTATTTCCACTCTGACACTGTTAGGGACCAGAAGACATCACATAAAAGACCACCATCATGTACGAAATCATCAAGAGCATTTACTAGTAAAAATGAGGAAACAAGTTGGGGTGGCACATGGCAATAGCCAAATGACTCAAAGGCCCGTTTTAAGTTGCATCAGGGGAATTCCAGGGAGGAGAGATTAATCTGGGGCTAATTGGTGGGTGGCTCTAGTGATAAGGGACATTCCTGCAGCAAGGATGGAAAGCTATCTGTAGCTAGCAGGAGGCTCCAGTCATCTCCTCAGCTAGTAAAAGGTTGTGAGTGGTTGTCGGCTAACTAGTTGCCCCTGAGTTGTGGTTTTCCTGAGAACTGCTTATTCAGCTCCAGCTAACTCCAGTAAACAAAAACTAAGGCCTGGTCCTTGGCATGGGCTATTAGAAACATGTCATGGCCCTTGTCTGGCTCCCCAGCCATCTCACCATGGAGCAGTGCCTTTATTAACATGACAAGTTCATCTCCTGCTCCCTCTCCATTTGGCTGGCAACTCAGACATCACCCTTCTTCCTCCCAGCATTCTCCAAGTGTGGCTCAGCTGCCTTACCTTATTCTTTTCAGTCATTGGACACTCAGCTTCTTTCTCAAAAACAATCAGAATGACATATATTCACACAGTGGAAAGATGTAAAGGAATACTCCACAGCAAAAAAAGCCCACCCAAGCATGATTAATGACTGCTTGAATGAGCAAGGGTGGAGTTCCGTGCACTACTCCCAGGCTTTAAAGCTGTCAGTATTTTCTTCAACAACAACTTGATATTGCCTGTCCTGGGGAGGGACTTTATAAATCTTGTTTCAGTTTTCTCACCATATAAGTATTGTTACTTACTAAATTTTATGGATGTTCTTCCTACTTCTTGAAAGAGATTTCATTTTGGAAGAAATTGCATACTCATACTCAGCCTGTATAATGATACCTGTGTATATATGAAAAATAATGTTTAAAAAAGAATGCTAAGAATTTTAGAGAAAGGTTGTATGGGAATGGGTAGACTGTGGAAAGGGGAGAGTGGGAATGACATAGTTATATTATAATAAAATTAATTAGTGTTTTTTGTGGAAAGTGATAAATAGTTTGGGGGTGGGTTATTTCTCCAGGTCTGGGGAGCTAAACTTTTGCTGTTTCTCAAGGTTTGAAAATATTAACCTAAAGCCTTTCCACCCAAATTAAACTTTGGCATTGACTTTACCACTTTCAAATTTAACCCTTGTCCTTGAAGTATAACAAAGTATATTCTAAGAAACCTGGTTGAAAGGCACTTTAATAAAAGAGAGTTTGGCTCTATGACCTCATTCTGAGTGGAACTTCTTCTCAAAAGATTGTCATCCATTTTTCTCAGAAAATCTGTGTAACTAATTGTATAGCTTGTGCAGCATATTAACTTGCCCTAGGACAAGCACATGGACTCTGACCACTTCTATCCCAGGCAGAAAGATTTTCATCCTGGTACACTCAAAATTCAAAGGGACATTTATGATGTGTTTCTTGTTCTAGCTTAACCTTTAAATGCTGTGATGCTCTATCTAGTCTTTGTTAATCAACTCACACTACCTCAAGGGGCCCACCTTCTGAGAGTCTGGCCGTCATCAACACTCTCACAGTCTCATCCAAACCATCATGCAGCATCATTTAAATTACAGACTGATGACAAACTCAAAGTCTCTAATGCTCCAAATTACCTCAATCAGAAAATGTGTAGCTTTATCAATCATAGATTCTCTGCTCTTCCTAATCATTTCTTTTGCATGCCCTTCTTATCTCAGAGTTTTCTATTCTTCTTCTGCAGGGAAAGTCTAAGTCCCTGTGGGCAGTGGGTGGATATTGGTTGCCACCAACAATAATGTTGGAGGGAGGAGATACCAAAGAGAACTGGGGAAAATAGTGAAATGACAAAGAGATTGGTTTTGAGGATTAATTTATCACAGTTTATTTTCTTACACAGTTTAATACAATAATGAAACCAACTGTGTTTCCATGAAAATAACAAATAAAGGCAAAACCAACAGAGGCCAGGATGAATTGGCCACTTTACTTTGTTTCACTAACTATACAGCACATTGAATTCTGTGAAACTTTTTCCCATGTCATGTTTTCTCACACGTACTAAAATCTGTGAAGATTTTCCAACAAATTTAAAACCCCAAATATCTTATTCTTAACCTTGACATGGAGCAATAAATGTGTCAGATGTAAGGTTAAGAAGCATACATGAGCCAAATTAACATTCAGTTACATGAGTATTAACAGTCTAACAGAGAACAAAAGATACTTATCACTTATCCTATTCCTAACAGAAGAGGAAGATACTCTTAGTGATGTCCCTCCTACTTATAAACACCCCACTACTTAGAAAATTGGCTGTTCTTCAGCACAGTGACAGCTATACCTAGGGCCATCTAAGTGTGGGAGTAGCTGCTAGAGTGGGCATGGGCGGGAACCCTGGCAGCATGGTATCCAGAAGCCTCATCTCTACTGGCTGCTCTCTCAGCCTGGTTACTGAGAGCCTCCTCATACTGTTGAGGGTAGAAACTGGGCATGGCGTTTCTGATCTTAGCCAAAACATCTAGGACTTTCATCTTGGTTTCTTCATTGCGGGCCCTGGAACCCCACAGGAACTCATAGCTTGGGGGATTGCTACCAGGCACCTGGCGGTACTCCACATAATTCTGCTCAACTAGCTCTTCAGTGATGAACTTCCGGGGCTCCCCAAAAATTAAGTGCCTCCTCCCAGGATATATCCCCTGCATATGGAGGAACTGCCAGACCTCTTCCTCACTGGCACGCTCCCCCTTCATCAAGATCATTCCCAGGAGGGTCAGTATGAGGCCTGTCTTTGGCAAATCTCTCATGCCACCCTCATTATCCCCAGGGGGGATGGGCAACTTGCTAACAAGAACATAGGACTGACTGTTATGTTTGTCAGCCTTCAACTCCAGACCATAGACTACCTCTAGCTGATAGGTGGCTTTCTCCAGGATCCAGGGGAAGTGTACCTTGTACTTCCTGCTGATCAGCTTCAACATATCTGCCTCTGTAGGCTGCTCATCCTTCTGGTACTTCTCCAGAAGATAGTGAAGTACCTTGCTGGCCTTCCTGGTCATAGGATCTCTGCGTGCAGAATCGATGGCTTCTGCTATAATGCAGGCATTTGCACGCTTCTCATCAACACCTGCAACAGAGCCCTCAGCACCAGCATCAGAACCCTCAGAAACAATATCATAGCCTGAGTATGGTATATCTAACTCAGGAAAGTCAAGGGATGCAGCCTCCTGGGACGCCTGAGGAGTGCACACATCAGGGGAGCTAGGGGCCTCTCCCTGGCCACGAGGGGGCGCTGCTGCTTCCTCCTCTGCAGTGGGCCGAGTACCCTGGAGATTCTGGCTCTCTACACGGGCCTGCTGCCTTTTGGCCCTGGAGCGGCTCTTGCTCTTGTTGCCCCTAGGCATGGTGCTCCGGGTAGGCAGGCTGCTGGAGTGCTGGAAAGAATCTGAGGTGGGGAGAGAAAGAATCTGAGGTGGGGGGGGGGAGAGAGAGAGAGAGAGAGAGAGAGAGAGAGAGAGAGAGAGAGAGAGAGAGAGAGAGAGAGAGAGAGAGAGAGAGAGAGAGAGAGAGAGAGAGAGAGAGAGAGAGAGAGAGAGAGAGAGAGAGAGAGAGAGAGAGAGAGAGAGAGAGAGAGAGAGAGAGAGAGAGAGAGAGAGAGAGAGAGAATGACACTATGTAACCATTACTAGGTAGAGAACAACTTCCCTTCAAGGAGGGTCCCCTCTGCTGCTTTTCTCAGGGTACCTTTCTGGATTCAAACCGTGTTCCTCTTCTCTTGTTGAAACAACTTCCTGAGAAATCTGTAAAGAGAATTAGAGTTTGTTAGGTCACTGCCGGCCTGGCAATCCAAGTTATACCTTCCTAGGTTGAAAGAAGGCCATCTCCTAGCGCTCCATTTTACTCCCCATAAACAATCATGCTCAATTTTAAGTATGTTCCGATCACCATTCATCTGCTGCTCTTAAATTCACACTATAATCTTAACTAGTAACACACTGGAGTAAATGATGGTAGGCCTTAGCCCTGATATCGGGCACCATTCAGTGGACACCAAATGGGCGATACCTTTGCAAGCCCCGCCCCCTTTTCTGCCAGTTCCTGCTTGTTTTCTTCCCCGAAATAATTTCCACTGAAATGTTTCCTCCTCGTTCTATAAAGTATAAAGTAGGGTAATATCTCAGTCCTTAGGCAAGGTCAATCCACCTATACCACATAGGGAACAATTCTGTACCCAGCCCCACACGCCATGGCAACCGGACTTAACCGCCATATTCAGGAATTCGAGGGAACAGTGTCGGGACCAGGCGTTTCCTGGGACAGGCTCTGTTGGAAATTTAGGAATCTATAGTGGGCTGTCACAGTTTTAACTCATTATCCCCCAAAGCTGTTACCTGTAAAGTTTCTCACTTGAGTAAAAGCGACAGTTCTCAGATCAAGACCCAGGCGCACCACTGCTCCACTGGCGAAGACATACAGGAAATTATACTCTTACACTTCCTGTGCCTGGCCCCACCTCCTCCAGCCCCTGGGCCCTCCCCTTTGCCCCCTACTGAGCTCTTTGTACTCTAAACAGAATTTCGCGGAGCTAATCCATCTTCTTTTTTTTTTTCTCCCAGAGAAAACACAAAAATTATTTTTGTTGACTTTGCTTGTAACTGGGATTTCACCCTTTTGATGTGGGCCAATGGATCTTAGACATTAGAACTAATTCTCATCAGATTTCTGCGTAGGAATTACATTGAGTGATTCTTAGTCCAACACCCATACCCAGGACCCCAGTATAATGTACAGATAACAGATCAATGTATGTGTTTGTGATCCCGTTTCATGACTGCATTGTCCTTGCCTTCTCACTCGTCTTCTCCTCCCCCTCACCTCCTCTTATTTTCTCTTATCCTCAGTCCACCTCTGCATTTCATTGTCTTTTTTATTATAGTCGTCTGGCAGATTCTCGCTATGCCAATTCAGGCTGTTATGGAACTTACTGTGATACTTAAATTTACATAGAAAGTACTATCCTCTTACCTGTGTCCCCAGTACAGTATTATTGTTATATATCACCATTCCTGGCATCTCTCATTTTTCCTTATGAATAATTGCATCATTTTATATTGGTTTTTGTTTTTGTTTTTGTTTTTTGTTTTGGTTTTTCAAGACAGGGTTTCTCTGTATTGTTTTGGAGGCTGTCCTGGAACTTGCTCTGTAGACCAGGCTGGCCTCAAACTCACAGAGATCCAACTGCCTCTGCCTCCTGAGTGCTGGGATTAAAGACGTGTGTCTCCAATGCCCGGCAATATTGGGTTTTGAAACCAAGTATTTCTGTGTAATATAGGCTGTCTTACAAATTCTTATGTAGCCTAAGGTGGACTTAAATTCACAAGTCACCTGCTTCTTCCTGTCCAGTGTTGGGATTAGAGGTGTGAATCACCAACCTTGGATCTCATCAACTTTCTGATATCTACTAGATTTGCTGAAAAATTTATATTTCCACCAAATGTAGTTTAGGATATTTTCCCTTGTAACCTTATCAGAATTATTTTCTCCTCCTTGTCTTCTTTGCCATGACGTAGCAATAAATTCTTTTCTCATTTTTCGCTTTTATTGAAAACAGACTCTTTTAAATTTGCCATTCTCACTGCAATTAGATGACATTACAGTGCTGTAATGATTTGCTTCACTAACAGATAAAGGAGTTGACCATTTTTCATTCATTTATTGGCTATTTGTACTTCTTCATTTGAAATGATGATTTAGTTTACTTGTCAGTTTATTGAATATGTTATTTATATTTTGCTGTTTTTCCCAATTCTTTCTATACTAACTGCATTAAACTGTGTGTTATGAATAACTGGACGTTTGCTCTTTTGCTAGGTAGCATTTTCATTTCCTGTGAGTCCCACTGGGCAATTTGTGGTAATATGACTACAGCTTTTGAATGCAGATATTTAGAAATTTATGCTGACATATAGGCTGAGTTGTTTCCAAAAATTCATCTCTAGAAGTTTTAAGTTTTCACTCTTACATTAAATTATTTTATCTAATTTGAGTTGTATTTTACATAGAGTAGGAGATAAGGCTGTAACCTTTTAATCTTTTACCTTTTAGTATTTATGTCTATGTGGCTGCTTCAAATTTCCCAGCACTATTTTTTAAATAGATTGTGTGTGTTTTGTTTAAATATCTTTCCTTTTGCCATACAGGTTGAGAATCAAATGATGCATAAATTGTCTATTTAAGTGACAGCACTATAGTGTTACCACTACTCTTGCTTTTATTTATTCTTACTTCTTTTCATTTACTATTTCTGTCAAATGTAAGTATCCACTGTGGTGTCTTATTCAGTTGTTAATATTAGAGCTCAGGTCAAATATCTGAGAATTCCAAACTCTATACTATATAGTGCTTATGATTTTCTATTAATATATTCACTGTATACTTTATGAAATGGAAATTTCCTAAATGCTATTGGCATAAATTAGCTTTTTGGAATTTTTTGAGGCTTTAATTTACTTCTAAACATAATTACATGCGTTTTCAATTTTTTTGTGGTAGCAAAGTTCTCCGATGAATGATATTTATGATGTGATGTTCTTCCTTTCTGTGAACACTCTTACTTTTCTTTTCTTCAATGATATTTCCATGTGTATGAGTATTTGCCTTACATGCATGTGCTTGTACCTGTATGTGCCTGGTATCTGTGGATTCCAGAAGAGGTCATTGTATACCCTGGAAATGGTCATGAACTGTAATATGGGTGCTTGTTTCCACTACAAGAGCAGCAAATGATCTTACACTTTGAGATCCCTCTCCAGTCCTCATTTGAAATGTATCTATGTGCGTATGTGTGCTTGCATCTATATTCATATATGCTTTATGTGTGGAATATTAGAGGAGGTCAGAAAAGGATATGGAAATCCCCAGAAGCTAGAATTACAGGTGATTGTGCTTTTGTTTTTTTATTAGGACATTGGCATATTTCATGTGATATGAATTTGTTTATGAAATTTTGTCTCTGTAAGTAAACTGTCACAAGTGTTTTCTGAAAATTCCTTTCAATTGCTGAATAATATGATAAAAGTATATTTAAGTTTATTAGACTCTGTTAAACTGTCAGTCTGAGGCTGCACAATTTTGTATCTCTATAGACAGTAAATGGTGGCTTCTCTTGTTACACAACATTTTTGTTATTTTGTTAACATTTTGGAGTTTATCTGTTCTAATAAATGTTTAGTGGTATCTCATTGTTTTAAGTGATAATCCTTTTTGTTTGGTTTTTACGAGACAGGGTTTCTCTGTATTGTTTTGGAGGCTGTCAGTCCAGCCCGGCCTCGAACTCACAGAGATCTGCCTGCCTCTGCCTCCCGAGTGCTGGGATTAAAGGCATGCACCACCATCGCCCGACCTTAAGTGATAATCCTTTAATGGTATATGATAGAAGCATATTTTCTTATTTTTATGTGTATAGTAGAACTATTAAATGAACCATAGTTGGGCTATTGTTTAAATTTATGCTATGGATATAGAGATATTCAGGTGTTCTATCCCTGCATATAATAACCTAGGTGTCTTTCAAAAAATGGTTTTCTTTCATTTATGTCATGAAATTTTGTAGTTATAGAGCTTTTCTTAATATTTTACAATAATAATTGTTATTCTTGTATTGCCTGTGGAATCATAATTTTTAATATAAATTCACCTTATTATTGAAACTTTTGTACATGTATACAATGAAACAGGATCATATCCTCTCCCAGATTTCTCTGTTCCAATTCTCCCAATCTTTCTCCCAACAAACTTCCCTCACAAATTCATCCTTTCTTCCTTTTAAACTTCTTTTAATAATTCAATAATACAGTTAGTGTTTCTCTTATGTGTATATGTGAGACCATCTACTGGAACATGAGAAAGCTACCAGTGGCCACACCTTCAAAAATAATAATGCTCCCTCTTCCACTAGTTGTCAGCTGTCAATATCTTCTAAGTAAGGGGTAGGACCTGAAGATTACTTTCCATATCTATGCTGGAAGTTTTTCAGGCTTGATCTTATACAGACATTGTGCAGGTAACTATAGCTGCTGTAATTTCATGAGTGAAATAGCCATCTTATGACCATAAGACAATACTTCACAGCACTCTTCCCTGTCATCCAACATTTTCAAGCTTTGGGATTCCTCTTTCATTATGTTTCCTGAGGTTTGATGTGTGGTTGACATATGCAGGGAGGAACAATCTTTCTCTTATCCTCAGCACATTGTCTACTTGTATGTCTTTGCCGTGACTACTGCTCACTGCAACGAGAACTTTCTCTGAAAAGTGTCAAATTCTGCCTGGTCTATTGGAATAAGCATAAATATTTAGAAGGCACTTTGAGAACATGGCCAATTACAAAATAGAAACAGTATGTTCTAACCTAGGCCTATGACCTCCCCACCTATGAGCTTTTGGCCAGGATTACATTC